CCGACGTCAAACTATTGATGGTAAATTTTCCACATAAAAAAGTAGTGGTAAATCATTTAAAACACACAATTACCACTACCACCAGAGAAAAGAAATAATTCTCCTGAGCTGGGTAACACATCTTTGTCAGTCCTTGAAGGTTACGTAAACCAGAGTTTTTGTAAATGACTGCAAGCACGGCTAGATTGTTTTAAAGGCAGGCCATTTATTCATATACCTACATTTTCTTTTTCTGAGCTGATTTAATGAACAATGCCTAGCGACTTATACGTCTGAGGCCTAAACCATTGTTCTTGTAAATGACTGCAAGCGCAGCTAGATTGTTTTAAAGGCAGGCCATTTATACATCTAGACTTTTTTCAGAGCCGATTTAATGAACAACGCCTAGCGACTTATATTATGTCCAATCTCAACATGTCAAGTACTGAGACAGACATAATGTTTGCCGTGACGTCAGTGCTCAACTCCACCCACGACCAGACACCCAGAGAGTCCTTCGATTCCGTGACGTCATCCCCCGTGAGATATTTCGTCATCGTAGACCTGCTCCTCATCATCAACGTACTCAGCGCCATCTCCTTCTCCGTCACCGTCTTCGGTATCCTCAGCAACATCTGCAACATCGTCGTCTTTGTGGGACTCGGCGTGCTAGAAACGGCAACGTCCGTCACGTTGTTCGCCCTGTCCGTCTCTGATCTCCTCTTCCTCCTTATTCTGTTCGTTTTCTGGACTTTCAGGTTTCTTAACAACCTCGGCGTTTCGCAGACCACCCAGGGAATCCCGATAACGTATTTTGTATACCAGTTCTTGCAGTATTTCCGAATGGCGTACACGTTGTCAGAACTGTTTACTGTTTATCTCGCAGTACAGAAATGCTGTTGTGTGGCTTTACCTTTTCGCTTTAAACTGATCTTCACCCCGTACAAATCACTGGCAACCTTGTCCATTATAGTGATTGCTGTCTTTGCCTTTTATGCTCCTCTTTTCTTTTCTATGGGCTTACAGCAGGTCGTGGATTTGACCCAGAACACCACACGATATATTCCATGGTTTTCAGAAGACAGAGAGGTTATTGTTTCCACTGTCTTTCATACCATCATGAACCTTTTGGTCCCCACAGCGGGGCAAGTTATAGTCGCGGTGTGTTTGGTTGTCTTAACTCAGAAACTTCGAGAAACCACCAAGTTCCGACAAGCTTCCGAGATGCTTGAGCCAAAAGTCGAAGGGTCAAAGGTGAAAAAATCAAAGGTCAAGGACTCGAGCAAACTGTCCGGGAAGGAGTTACGTGCAGTGCAGTCTGTGGTCGTTCTTGTGGTCATGTTCATCGTCTGCAACCTGCCCACAGTACTCACGCAATACGCCACTTATATCGAGCCGGAGTTTGACGACTTCCGGAGATACAGCGCCATCTACTCTCTCGAATGTTCCTCATGGTGTGCTGCTCGTCTTTCAACGTCTTCGTTTACATCAAGTTCAACTCCAGTTACAGACAACAGCTACAGGTGGGTCGGCCTCGTACTTCATCCACATAAATGGAGAGCTCATCATCAGGTCAGAAGATTCACCAGAATGTGCGTCCTCGGTGAGATGAGGGACTCATCTGTTTCTTTTGGACACTACGCCATTGTCTTATCTCTTTCTTTTGAACATTGTGTCATCTCTTTCTTTTGGACATTGCCTCATCTCTTTCATTTGGACACTACGTCATTGTCTCATCTCTTTCTTTTGGACACTACATCTTTCCCATAATCCATTTACTATTGCTGTCCTGAAATAAAGGTTTAATCACCGACTAAACAATTTCCTATTTTCTTGCTTTGTGTTTGTGTTTGTGTGTTTGTTTTTCTTGAAACATAACCATTTACACCATGCCAGAACAGTTTTACGTAACCTACAAATACCGTCACCAAAATCAGGACACTGGACAAAAAGAAAAGAAAGAAAGGTGGAAACGACCATAACTTGAAAAGTTTTAGTGCTTTAATCACAATTAAATTGTATTATAAAGTAGACATATCATTCATACTGTTTATCTATTTCTCAGTGCAATTCCCAGGAAGATCAATGCATTTCGCCAGCAGGGAATGTATACCCAGCCTAAAAACTATCTCGTCAAAAGATTACAACCAATTATTCACGCTTCAATTAAATCTTTTTCCTCTGTGAAACGTTGTCCTGACAGATATTGTTTAAAAGGTCCGCTCAGGTAATAGTCTGAGGCAGGGGTAGGCCCTGAGCAACCTTAGCTTAGAGAACCTAAACTGGTGGATGGCGGGAAATGATCAGGGTAACGTAGCTTTTTTCAAGAGCAACAGAGCAAATGGATGAACGGAAAACCATGATCGCCGATGTCTACTGAAGACCTGGCACTTCATGATGATGTTGTTCATGATGATGATGATGATGATGATGATGATGATGATGATGATGATGATGATGAT